GCTAAGCTCTCCCTGGTTTTCACGATGCCTTGAGCAGCCAACTAACTCTGTGTTCTTTTCTTCCAGCTCTTCCACGTGGCATATGTCCTCATCAAATTTGCCAATTCCCCTCGTCCTGACCTTTGGGTGCTGGAACGGTCTACCGACTTTGGCCTTACCTACGAGCCCTGGCAGTACTTCGCCTGTAAGTATGGCAGCGTTACAAGAGAGCTGCAGCTTAGTGCCAGGCAGCGAGGCCGCAGTGCCGACGGCTCTTTGTGCAAGCCCTGGGCTGGGTTTGGAGTTGTTTTGGTGTCGTTGCTGTGATGTGGTACGTGTCCTCTGTTTCTTCTGCCCGCAGTAAGGGTTGAAGAAAAGTAAGAGTTGAAAGTAAGAGTTGAAGCTCGGACAAGAGCAGCTGGGGGAAGTTGTGGTGCTCCTCAGAGCAGGAGAACTTTTTTGCTCTTTGGGACTACATGTGTTCTTTAAAGTAGTGTCATTGGTGCCGACACAAATCTCTGTGGATGCCAAAGTTGGCACCGGTGTCAGTGGTTGGGCGTTGCCGATCTAGGTCTGGAACACGAGATTTCTCCCTGTCCCCTCCCTGCCCTGCTCGCTCCCTCTGGCTGCCCTGTACCGGATGCACTGGCACACTTCAGCTCCTCCAGAAGCAAACCAGCGGCTCGCTTCCGAGGGGCGGCTGTAACAGAGAAGTCTGGAGGCAGAAAACAGTCCTCTTGCACTGATCGGTGTGGGAGATCGGGTACAGCCTGTGCGGGGTGGGAAACCGCTGTCCTGCCGCTGTGCCGGGTGGGATGAGGAACAGCTGGAAAGGGCGGCTGCGGAGATGCGGGCTGCGCGTTTGACTTCCCCCTTCTCTGATTAAAACCTGATGCCTTTGGAAACAGCTGGTTCCACAGCGCTCTTCTCCCAGAGAGTCCGTGGGGTAGCCGCATGCTGAGGAACTTGTTAACCACCAGCCTCTCCCAGAAGCGGCAGCAGTAATTGGGAGAAGATGTGAGTTAAGATCTACGGCCAGAGCTTAAAACCTGGCAAGGAAGGACCTCGGAGCGCTCAGAGGCCTCGACCCGCTCTGCCTCTAAAGGCTGATATTTCTGGCTTACCTGTCAGCCTGGGCTTTAGCTTTGCTGGCCTTTTCTGCGAGAAAGACCCGCAGACATTTTCCCCACTGTGTTGCCTTAGTGTGGCAGCTCCTCTCCAGTGCGGATGTTTTCTCCTCTGCTGTTGTGCTGGTGGGGAATTGCTGCCGTCAGATCGCCTGCTTTGCTTTTTTTTTTATCTTCTCTTGAGATTTTCCCTTCCAGCTCCGCGGCCTCTCCTGGGGCTCGCTGCGGTCACTGCCTGGTCTGGGGCTGAGCGGGGACCTCCTGCCCCACTTGCCTGTTCCTGTGCGTGGTGGCAACACCCCAACGTCTGGAGTCCCCTTCCCACCCACGACACCAGGTCCTGTTGCCACCTCCCCCCCGTTCAGAAGTGATGTGCGGTGACACAGCCCAGCGGAAAATTCCCATGGAAATAAAGAGGTGGCTGCTCCCAAAACCTGCCAGATTTGCGAGCACAAGAAGTCCTTTGCCGAGGTTTATTTTTGGCATGGGGAGTTCTGTAGGTGGTCTAATAAAAACCCTGGTCACAGAATCACAGAATCACAGAATGGTCGGGGTTGGAAGGGCCCTCTGGAGATCATCTAGTCCACCCCCCCGCCAGAGCAGGGGCACCTCCAGCAGTGGCACAGGACAGCGTCCAGGCGGGTTTGGAATGTCTCCAGAGGGGGAGACTCCCCCACCTCTCTGGGCAGCCTGTGCCAGTGCTCCACTACCCTCAAGGTAAAGAAGTTCCTTCTCATGTTAAGATGGAACTTCCTATGTTCAAGTTTATGCCCATTACCCCTCGTCCTATCACTGGGCGCCACTGAAAAAAGACTGCTCCCATCCCCCTGGCATCCTCCCGTTAAGTATTTGTATGTATTAATAAGATCTCCCCTCAATCTTCTTTTCTCTAGACTAAAGAGACCCAAGTCCCTCAGCCTTTCTCCGTATGAGAGATGTTCCAATCCCCTCATCATCTTCCTTGCCCTTTGCTGGACCCTCTCCAGCAGTTCCCTGTCCTAAGTTGAACTGAACTGGTCGGTTCAGTCAGAGGGTTAAAAAGCAGCCAGCAGAACTGTAAGCCTTCTCCAGAGACGCCAGCGAGCCTTGCCTCGGGTGACGCCGTCGTCCCCAGGCTGTCCCTCGAGCCCCGCGCGTCGTGGGAGGTGGTGGGTTCCCCCGGCTGCCCCGTGCCCCCCAGCCAGGCTGCTGGAGTGCTTTCGGGCTTAGCTCTGCGGGAGGAGGGACGAAATGACTGTCGTGGAAAGCATCTGTGGGTGCAGCCGATGGGCTCTCTCGGGGAGAAGGGGCCGGAGGGACCGTGGCAATGCGAATCCTCTGTGCATCGCGGCGGGGAGGCACCGCGCTTTCCTCGGCCACCAAAGGAGAAGCGGGAGCGCTGGGGGTGAGATTTATGGTGGTGTTTATCCGCGTGAAGGGTTCCCCACGCAGCGTTTCAAATGAGGACAGGACATGAAAGATGCCCGGTCCCAGCTGTCCGTCCAGGCCGGTGGAGCCTTGCCTGCCCCGGCTCAGCGTGCTGGGCAGGATTCGCCCCTTCCGTCTGGCTCTGCTGGGCAGTGCCACTGCGGAGGGGAAGGCCGCCATAGCGCAGAGCGAGCCCTGTCCTTTTCTCCTCCGAGGGAAGGCTTCCCCAGTTTGTGCTTTAAGGTGGGTTACTCTGTTTTAGCTCGCAGGCAGAGCGCCCGGCTTCTGGCTCGCACAATTGTGTCGATTTGCAATAACTGGAGGAGTTTTGTGATTTTCCTGAGTAGCTGCTCTTGCTGAGCATCCTGTCCCCGTGCCCAGCCACGGCGGTGCTCCGGGCATCAATCATCTGGAGGCAGCGGTGACAGGCTCCTCGCTTGGGGCTTCACCATACATTGCCTTTAAAAAAGCACCTGGCAAAGCAGAGCTTAGCGGCCAGAGACCTGATGTTAAACGTTTCCACACCACCTTCCCGTGGATGCAGCTGAGCTCCTCCTGTTGCCAGAACGGTGTTTGGCAGAGCGGGGCCGCGGCACGGGAGATGAGGCGTGGGTGGCTGCGAGCCAGAGGTGAAGGCAGGGGAGGCAGAAGCTCTCTGTGCTCCCCCCGTCCTGTTCCTCCTGCCCAGCTTAGCCTACCGCAGCAGTGATGGACGTGGAGCGAGGGACGTGCCTCCTGGAGGCAGATTGCGACAGATTTTGGAGTATTATCCCCATAAATTAGGCTAACGTTTCCCCATCAGCTCCCTGGGTGAGCCGAGCAGCGCTGGCTTGAGCAGTAGGTGGTGTTGGCTGCCTTTTCCTCCCTCTTCTCCCCATGGAAACACCCTGAGGAGCTCTGGAGCGACGTGTGCTTCTGCACACACCGCTGAGAGCTCCTGGCGCAGGTGGAACGGGGGTGGGAAGGAGCAGCAGCCTTTGTCCCACGGTTTTGCCTGGGGCGATGGCCCCAGAGAGTGGCCCAAGAGCGAAGGAAGGCACTGAGAAGGTTGTTGCGTGGGTGGATGTGGGTGCTCACCACCCTGGCACAGTCAGGTCCGGAGCTGCCCCGGCACGTTCGGTGTGGTTTGGGTGGCTCTGCCGGTGCAGGGATGTCAGAGGTCCTGGGGATGAGGGTGCTGGGCTTGCAGGAGCGGCTGTGCGGGAAAGCCGGGACATTCCTACAGCTGCGAGGAGACTGCGGTGTCCCCAGAGCAGGTTGGAGGGCCAGCGGCGTGACTGCCCGGCCGTGCTTGTCCCCTGGCTGTAGCCAGTCTTGCATTGCCACTTAGTGGCAGGAGCCCTCGATTGCTGTCCCCGAGGGGTGGCTCTGGGCGGCTTCGGCATTTCTGTTCTGTAGCGTTTGTTTCAGAGCAGTCGCAGAGTTTGGAGTAAGGCGGGGGAAGGAGATGTCCTGCAGACGGTCGCTCTGCTTCTCCCAAACGCCGCAAGCCCCGTCCCCACACCTGCGTGTCCCCCCTGCCTGGTGGGAGGTGGCCCAGCGGTGGCTGTGGCTTGTGGTTGCTCCCGTTGTGCGGTTGTGTGCTGGCTCGCTCTTCGGGAACTACCCGAGAAGTTAAGGAGCCACGTGAAGGTGACAGTACGAGCTCCTACCTCAGGAGCGGAGCTCGAGCAGCAAACAGCCCGTCCCCAGTGTAGCAAATCCAGGGCGAGCAAGGCAATGAATTCAGGCCAGGGTCAGAGCTCAAGGTGGTTAAACTCTAAGCTTTAATGACAAAATGAAGGGGTCGGTTTCCCTGCAGGCGGTCACAGGAAGCACAATGGCCATTCTCACTCTCCTCATTTACTGAAGTGAGGTCATCTCAGGGGTTTTCTGACCATGCCTGTTACTCTCATAGCACCTCCCTCCCTTAGTGCAGTACGTGCGTGTTAGCGAGGACAGAGTTAACGCTGCAAAGCAATCCGTATGTAGTGAATGCTTAACAAAGAGTATAGACCCTTCTCTCCTGCTGGTCAGTGTGGGAAAATCAATACAGGGCTCTGAATCGTTCCTTTTCTCTGACTGCTCTCACCTCTGGTTGGTGAACAGCTTCCAAGAGGGACTGCATTGAGAAGTTTGGACTGCAAACTGTGGACCGTATCACCAAGGATGACCATGCCATCTGCACTACTGAATACTCCCGCATCGTGCCTTTAGAAAACGGGGAGGTGAGCAGTTGCGTGTTTTCATGCCCTGGAGTTCCCAGGGTTTCTCGGTGACTGTAGGTACTTTATTAATTAGTTCCCTCTTGGCTTTTGGGTGTCACCTGAATCACTCTGTTAAAACAAATGAGACTGACAGGGAGCTGATTCAGTCGTCCTGAGGGGAAGTAAGGATTGAGTTTGGCTGAGGGAGAGATTAATTTCGTCCCATCTCATTACACAGATTTGTTTTCCCTCCTTGCATTCACAGATTGTTGTCTCTCTGGTAAATGGGCGCCCAGGAGCCATGAACTTCTCCTACTCTCCTCTCCTGCGGAACTTCACGAAAGCCACCAACATCCGACTGCGCTTCCTGCAGACAAACACTCTGCTCGGGCACCTGATGGGCAAAGCTTTAAGGGACCCTACGGTGACAAGGAGGGTAAGACAGACCTTGGTACCTCTTGCCAGCGAGGTGGAAGTGTTTGAGGGCTGTGCATGCCACCTCTGGGGAGAAGACGTCCCTGGATGTTGCCCGTGGGGATTTCCTCTCTCTGTACTTGTACTCCCGGAGCTGACACGGCATCTGCAGCCGCTACCGCTGCTGCCGTGGCTGGAGCTGGAGGCTGCTTGGGAAGAGCTGTGCTTAGCACCAACAGCATGAAACTGGGAAACACCTCCTGTGGCACGTGTGGCTTTGTGATGGTGCTGGGAGACCCGACTTGTAACTAACGGGCTGTTAGTGGTGGGAGGTCTTACCATAGGCAGATGTTGCAGCCTACAAGGTGGAGCTTGCCACTGTAAGGGAAATGTCCCGACGTATCATTTTACTAGAGAAAGTCCTGCTCAATTCTGAGTAGGGCAGTTGTGAAGCTTATTCGTAAAGATATTAATGGCCAAACTTTCTTGTGCTCTCCAGTACTACTACAGTATCAAAGATATCAGCATTGGAGGGCGCTGTGTCTGCCATGGCCATGCAGATGTCTGTGATGCCAAAGACCCTAATGACCCGTACAGGTATGTTTTTCAAAGTCCCGGTTCTGTGTAAAAGCATTTGAATTGTTATGCTAAGAATGAAAGATGCCAGTGTGGGTTGCGTCCTGTCCTGAGCTCCTAACTGTGCCAGCATGGTTGTTCGTGAGAACAACCTGAGAATGAACCAGAAACTGGTCCTGCCAAAGTAGCAAAAATTAAATGTTTTGTCAGGCTATTGTTCAGCCAGATCAGCTCCCTGCTCTGGTTTTCCCCACCCACAACTTTGCCATCCTCGTGGCAGCAGAGTGCTGGAACTGGAGGGCAGATGTGCAAAGCCGAGAGTGTTGTTGGACGTGGAGGTTTCTTGTTGAAGCCCAGGGCTGGTTTCTGAACCTGCTCAGAGAAGTCTCTTGCTTCCGAAATGCCTTCTTACGAACAGGGACAGTGCTCTCATAAATAGATGGTTTCCCAAGAGACCAGACTCCACGGTCCAGTTCTCCTCGTAAGAACCATAGATTGGTTATGTATGTAGCTGAACAACTACTCTCTGCCAAAGAACAAGAGCATGCAAAGCAGTTACATTTTGGCTCATGGGGCTCTTCCCATCTGCCTTGGCAACTTGAAATGCCAAAGAGCTGCTTCAGACTATGAGAGTGTTGCTTCTTAGCCATCTGTTCGCAGCCTGCATGTTGCCTTTATGAGAGGGGTGGGTAGATTCAGCTGGACGAGGGAAGCTTATATTTCTTTCTCATCAGGATCATGTAGAGCTTTTGGATCTTCTATAAAATTCCAGTGAGTCCCGGCCAAGGTTAAAAGCTGCTAAGTGTTAAAACAAAGATGTATTGAAAAGCGAGTCTGCGTTAGTGTGCCTAGCTCTTTGACAAAGGCAAGTTCATAAATATTTGGATGTACGGGTCCTTGGTTTTGTTGTGGGCTTTGGTGTTGCTGGATGGACAGCACAGCCCTGTACCGGGGCAAAGGGGCTTCATGGTGCAAAGTTATTCGTTAACATAGAAACACCCTGACATGTCTTGGGTGTACCGATGGCTCAGGGCTCTCCGGGAAGGGAGGGGAAATGGAGGGAGGAGAGAGGTGTTGGGATCCTTGTCCAGTGCCACTTCTGCTGACGACTGTCGCTGCCTCCCAGAATTCCCCTCCTCCCCTCTCGTTTGGATGCATTTGGCATCTTCGCTCTTGGCCACAGACTGTGCTCTGACGGTGCAGCGCCTGTTCGTGAGCAGCTGTTGCGTTTCACCCAGAGCAGATCGCGCTTGCCTGGAGGAGAAAACATTTCCTACTCGGGTGCTTCGTACAGTCAGCACATAACATCTGTAAAGCCCTTTGGGATACATCAGGACAAAGATGCTGGTAAACAGAAGAACTTCTCATGGCGTTGCTGTACCCTGTTACCAAGCCCAGGGGCACGCAGAAGTCAGCAGAAATATAATACTTTCAGTTGAGAAGATGAGTAATCGGCGAAACGCTGCCGTTCTCCGAGGGTCCAGCGGCAGCTGTGTGCAGCCCTCCCCCGCTGGGAGTCATCCCCCGCTCCTGCCCCGATGCCGCACGGAGCCAGCACGGCGATACCTGCTGTAACGCTGCGTGGCAAGAGGCATCGCAGGGCCAGGCGGGACTTGGACGCGCTGTCCCTTCAGGTCATGGGCCCCAGCTGTCAGAAATGCATCATTCCTTCAGAAATCTGCGTGTCCCGTCTGAGCAGGAGGTGCGGTGTGTCCCTCTGCACTTGTCCTGCCTCTTCAGATGTGTGACAGCAACCGGGCAAGGAAATGTGAATAGAGGGAGACAAGGAATGTGAATCGGCCCAGCCCTGTTAAAAATCCCAGTTATGTCTCAGCCTGTCTGGGAGGTCTCTGCCTCTCGTTTTAACTTCTCTCTTCTGCACATGCCTGTGTTTCTTGTGCCGGTTGCCCAGAAAGGCAGGATGAGCACTTTGATAGAGGTGAGGTGAGCAAGAAGTCTTGGCAAAGGCTTTAGGACGTGATGGAGCGTGTTCGTGAGCTGACTTCCTGGCCATAAATGATAATGTTTATCCAGCTTTGGAAGGTCTCTCTGAAGTGCCAAGTTAGGGAGGCGGCACATCCAGCTGTGTTAAGCTGGCAGTGCATCTGGTCCCCCCCCACGTGTGTGTGTGTGTGTGTGTGTGTGTGTGTGTGCAAGGGCCCACATCGCGTGGGCAGACAGAGCCTCCCCGAGGGTCCTGTGTGCTCTTCACAACCGTCTCTCTTTGCCCCAAGATCGAACGGGATAAATTAAGCAGAGGGAAGGAAAATTCTCCTGGTTAAAGGTGAACACCAGCAGGATCAGGCACAAACCTTTCTCTTGGCAAACCCTGTGAGCGGTGAGATAAGCATCAGCGGGGACCTGGCACGCTGCAGACGGAGAGCCCGGACAGAAATCATGTGTTAACATGCAGCTGCTGTTGATGTGAGCTCCGGAGAAGCCTGCAAGTGCTCTGCATTTGTCTGATAAGAGCAACCGTTACCGTGGGTTCACTGCCCCATCACGGATGCCACAAGCAAGGGAGGAGACAACCGGAGAGTGCAGCTGCTGCCGTGCCTGATGCTGAAGATAACCAGCAAGACAACGGCAGCCTGGCTGGTCAGCAGCAGACCTGCAGGAGATCAAGGATGCTTTCCCACTGCTGGATCCTGAGTGCTAGCTTGCTCTTTCCCATTTTGGAAGCGAAAGCACCGTGTGGCGCTGGTAGATTTGTGCTGTCTGTGAGTCCCTTTTGCAGGTGGTTTTCCCTCAGGATAGTGAGATGCAGTTAGGGGAAGGGGCTTTTTCTTGATTGTGCTGCTCAGATGTCCCGGCCAAATCCAGATGCTGCAGCGCTTGTGTGCCGCTCCTGGCTCTGACACCGCTGCTCACTGGAAACCATTTATAGTCTCTGCTATTGAGCATCAGTTCCAGTGGGGAGACTGTGGTTTTATTTTTTTATGGCAGGACGACCAGGAAATATGTGCTATGTGAACACAGCCGCTCCCTCTTCTTCCTTGTATATATTCAATCAATGAAACATGTAAATAATGTAGCTTACGCACGTTTGTCCGTGATTCAGCAGCAGCACAGACTCGGCACAAGGTACGGTAAAGCTGCCGTGATGGATGAGCTCTCTGAGAGGTCGTTGCTAACTCTGGACAGCAGAGACTAAATAAATAGCTCCTTCTCCATCTGAAATGTGCGTCTTTACTCATTGAGTGCCATCTTTTTGCATCCTGGGAACCGAACCAGTGTTTTTCAAACATCTTGAACATTAAAGAGCCGGGGTGTGTGGCTGGAGCCGCGTCCTCCAGCCAGGGTGATTCACACTGCTCAGCAGGTTTATAAGTTCTCTGACTCGGTGACCGTCTTTCTCCACACATTTGTATATGGACGTTAATCTTGATCTAGAGCTGCTGCCATAGAAAAAAAAAACATAAAATTTTGTTTCCTTGAAAGCGCTGAGTGGTAGTCAGCCAGGTGAGAGGTCTGTGGGTGGTTTCTTTACGGAGTCACGGCCAAGGTTTGCCTCTCATTCAGTCTCCCCCTTGGGTCTGCAAAACACGGGGAGAACAAAGCTCCTGGGGAACGTTTCAGGGCTCATTTCTGCCGCCTAGGCTCCAGCCAACCTCTCAGGGGCTCGCTTTCATGCCTGGACTCTGCCAGCCGCAGCCCAGGCTGCCCCAGGGACGGGGCATCAGGAGCGCTCACAGTGCTGACCGCGGCCAAGTGTTCCGTGGTGTCTGACCGCGGCCAAGCGTTCTGTGGTGTCTGACCACGGCCAAGCGTTTCGTGGTGTCTGACCACGGCCAAGCGTTTCGTGGTGTCTGACCGCGGCCAAGCGTTTCGTGGTGTCTGACCGCGGCCAAGCGTTCCGTGGTGTCTGACCACGGCCAAGCGTTCCGTGGTGCCTGCAGGGGGAGGACGGCCCGCGGGGCTGGGAGCAGCTCCCGGACCCCCTGCCTCTCACCCCCCTGGCTGTGGTGAACGTGCTCTGTGTGGGTCCTTGCCCGCATTCCCCCGAACCTTCAGATCATCCCATATTTCATTAAAACAAGTTTACTTGTCCTGTGCGGCTGCCTCTGTCTGGCTGTTCACTATACGTACGCTTGCAGGTCCTACATCTTAAAAACACATGTAGGTGGAAACCACGGCACTCAGCTCACTGCAGGCATGGAAGAGTGTGTCCGCACTCCTGCATTTCACCAAGAATGACTACTCCCATTTACTGCTAATGTTTTTAAAAATTACATTTATTTTTAAACACTGCTTTTGAATGGAAGAGCATTGGAGGAGGGAGAGATGGGAGTGGCAGACTGACCCTGAGGGGAAATGAGTAATTGCACAGATAAAAGCTGGAACATGCTGTATTATCCATAAGTCTATTACAACAGAAAGCGTTTGTGTTGGATGGGAATCGCCTTCTGCTAAGTGGAAGTTTTGGAGATGATGTCACTGATGTTAATGAATCACCGTTGCGGTTGAGCAGGGACGAGAGCCGTCAGTCGACCGTCGAGATTTCTTGCCTGGCGCCTCCGGAGCCGCCTGTTTACCCAGCGCAGCCCTGCCTGCGCCGGCTGGGGAAAGCAGGAGGTGCATTTCGCAGGGAGAGTGGGGCCAGCGTCTGCTAAAAGACTTAATTCAAATCTCGTGGCCTTCCTCTCTGCAAGCACAGGTATAGCTGGAGGAGCAGATGGGACCTGTGTGGCCCCATCCCTCTCTGGCTCTGGACTATCGTTCCTTTCACGCTGCCCCTGCGCGGTGGTGGGGATGTCGTGGCCCTGCACCGTGCTTCTCCCTCTCAAGTAATTTGCTTCAGCTCAGGTTTCTACCACTGCCCCCTCCAGCCATTTCACGTTTCTTTGTCTGTAGAGCTGGCAAGGCAACGGCACGTCGATTTTTCTCTAATCTTCATCTCCCTGTGCAGAAAAGAGGAGTGATGGTGGAGGAGAAGGAAGGGAGAGAATGGCACTGGAAGAGCAGTTTGGTGTTTGGCTTAGAAAAAAAGCCCCAACAATTCAAAAGTTAAAAAAACCAATGCCTTAGAAGCCTTTTCCAGAATATTTGGATTAATAAATATCACGCGTTCGTGTGTCTGACTAGTGATAGCTATGCACAGCGGGGTTACGCGGTGGCTCCCCGTCCCGCGCGTCCCTGTCATCGCCCCAATGGCTGTACCTCCTTCCTCCCCCTTGCAGGCTGCAGTGCGACTGCCAGCACAACACCTGCGGCGGGTCCTGCGATCGCTGCTGCCCCGGCTTCAACCAGTTCCCCTGGAAGCCCGCCACTGCCGACAGCGCAAACGAATGCCAGCGTAAGTCGGAGTTGGGTTTTTCCTTCCTTTTCCAGCTGTTTTGCAAAGCGCAGATTGACCACACTTCACCGGCCCCTCGACACTGCGGTGCGGAAGAAGCCATTCACTGGAATGGTGGGGTTGATGGTGTGTGGCACTGGGTGGAGATCACCGGCAGTGCGAGAGGCCGGTTTGCACAGTGGTTGATTGTGTTCAGTCGGGGCTCGCGCAGGGAGGCCCGCTCGGTCTGTACGGGACTTTGATTCTGCTTATGTTCCAATTCCTCCTCTGTGTCCAAGGGTTCGCGCAGGCAAGTCTCGTTGCTCAATTCTGTCTCCAAGATGAATTACATTTGGATGTGTTTACATACGGGACATCTTTATTTGTCTAGAGAAACCTTTAGTAAATGCCGACAGTGGAATTTATGCTGCACTGGGAGTGCAGAGCACGGAGCGTAGCTGCATCGCACAATCTCTTATAAACGCAGGGCGGCAAAGGACGGTTGAATCTTAATCCTGCGGGTTTGTAAAGAGCACCCTCACCGGGGGCTGAACTTTCCAGCTCACCTCCGTCCTAGATGGGATAAAAGAGGCGAGAATGTTGCCCTCTAAACCAGACTACCCGAGGCCCTAAAGTTGGGTAATGTCTCTTTCTCGTCTCTACACGCCTGCGCATATTTTACTTCTGATGTTGTGCCTGCTGCGTTTCTGCGGTTGCAGACTAGACTTCGTGAAAGAGTTGCTGCTTCTGCGCTTGTGAACTGGAAGACTTCTGGGAGGTTGGGTGATCGTGTAGTCCCCGAGATGCATTCAGGCATCTTTCCTCATTGAAAAGTAACCCGTCCAATGTCAGACCCACGAGGAAGCGTTCGTATCTCGAGATCCAGCTGGTGACCGAAGGACCTCCGTGGACGGGTGGCTTAGCTAACGTCTCTGTCTTTGCAGCTTGCAATTGCAACGGCCATGCCTACGACTGCTACTACGACCCCGAGGTGGATCGCCACAAAGCTAGCAAAAGTCGCCAAGAGAAGTTTGAAGGGGGAGGTGTCTGCATTGACTGCCAGGTAGGCCTGAAGAGCTCCCGCGGAAAATGCTGTTGTGTTTGTGTCTGCTCAGCCTGGAGTTCAGCCTTGCTGGCCGCTCCGCCAGCCCCCTCGCACACCCTCCGTTACCTTAGTGAGGTCTCTCCCTGGAGATTTAGTCTCTTTGCCATAGGTTAAAGGAGTGTGCGCCAGTAATGAATACAGCGCTTGGGTTCCTCGCTGTCCCCTGGGTTGTACCGTTACCTTTCGGATGCTTTAGGGTTAGGTCTGCTGAGGCGCTGTGCGGTGGGAGGGACGGGTTGGTGCCGAGCACATGGGGAAGCCCCTGCCTAGTCTGCGGGCGGCCGTCTCTCTGCGTCTCTTCTCACCACCAAAATGCCAATCTCCTCAGTCTCTGAAGTTCCCAGTGAAAGCGGGAAAGTAGCTCTTCCACTCCCAAGGTGGCTGGGAGCTGGTTTCATGCGGTGGCACGAAACATTTAGCTGTGCTTTCTTGCTGGGAGGAAACAGATTGCTCCCGTCCTCCTCGCACATAGTGGTTGAGGACGTTTTACCATCTGAGGCAAGGGAAACGGGCTCGAGGTCAGATACGAACCTGAACCTCAGACTGGGCTTACGGGAGGATACACAGTTTGCAGGAAATACTTTGTTTTCAAATCGGTGTATGTGGGATTTTGAGCAGATTTAGGTCTTCTGTGCGATGACACTTCTCAGTTGCTCCCTCTGGACCCTGAAGCTGTCAGTAAATCTGGCAGACGAACATGAATCCCGCCGGCAGAGGAACTGATGCCCCTCTAACCCACTGTCTTTCAGCATCACACCACCGGCATTAACTGCGAGAGGTGCATCCCAGGATACTACCGGTCCCCTGACCACCCAATCGACTCTCCGTACATTTGCTATCGTGAGTGTGGTTTCCTCTGCGGGCTGTAGATGCCTGCTTGGACTTGATGGCACTGGGGAGGGTGGGCTGAAAGACTGGGCTGAGAGATTTTTCTGGTGTAGGGAGTCCAGCACCATAAAAGATGTGGCTGCATGGGCGGTTCACGCTGCAGCTGGCATTGCCCATGGAAACGTATGTGCACGGCCGCCTGTACTTGCAGGCAGTATGTGTGTCTGCAGCATCCCTGAAATCAGAAGTGGTGGCATGTTCTAAGGCTGGAATGAGCTAAAAATGGGTTGTTACCCCTGCTGTAGCCTGCGGGGCAGTCCGGTCTTAGCTGTCATCTTGTGCCCTTTCAGCTGGCACTTGCAAACCATTGCTCTCCGTGCGCCAAGACAGGGATTTCTGGGCAGCAGTGGGTTATATCTGTATCGCTGGGGATCCCAGCTCGGTCTGGTAGCTGTGACACATCAGCTGTTCTGGACCGTGTCCTTGCTGCAGTGCGCCACTGCCACCTCTCCAGGGAAACGGGGGTCTCCTGGAGAACCGAGACGGGGCTGTGCGGCTTTGCTTGGGTCCCTGCAGTGGGACGAGCACAGCGGGAGCCGTTCCTCTAAGCCAGACCCTTTTTGAAGAGGCAAAATCCCACTTTTTGTTTTTGGAGAGGATTTACAGCAGATGGCGGGGTCTCTTGCAGAGGCTCTGTACCGCAGTGATGCTTCTGTAGTGCTCATGGTTGGCCGAGTGACTGTCAGGTAGTGACAACCGGCTCGTCCCTCACTGCAGGCTGCAACTGTGAGTCTGACTTCACCGATGGCACCTGCGAGGACCTCACCGGCCGCTGTTACTGCAAGCCCAATTACACCGGGGAGCACTGCGATGCCTGCGCCGAGGGATACCTCAACTTCCCCCACTGCTACCGTGAGTGGGGGCTGCGGGGCTGCGGGGTGGGCAAGTCTGGCACCGCACAGACCCGGCGGGGGCAGGACGGGCCAACAGCTCCAGTTGGGGCCACTCTCCAGGTGCCTTTTCCCCGTGCCACAGGGCACTCCTGTCCCAGGAAGAGTTCCTGCAGTTGGGGAGAAGCCCACATTTGGCTTTGGTGGAAGCCGGACCAGAGCTGAGCTGGGCTGAACCTGGCTCACTGGAGGCTCATCTCTCACTTTCTGTGAAGGACATCTTTCCAGGGCCCGGGTTAAAAATGGTTGTAATGGATCTTTGTTTAGTGGGATTCTGCATTTTGTTCCGTGTTCAATGTTTTCATTCAGCCCGTTCAGCTTTGGGACTGTCAACCCGTTGATATCCCGACAGGATCTCTTTGAGCGTATGTGCTGACCTGTGCAATGTCTCTTTCTCTGCGTAGCTGTTCCAGCTTTTGCTCACAACGATACTGGAGAACAAGTGCTCCCTGCGGGACAGATAATAAGTAAGCAGTGCAATTTTCCTTGCTGCTTTGGCAATCACCATGCTTTATTACTGTCATATCTCACCACTCAATGCCAGATCAGGTCCTCAGCTTACTTGGCATGAGTGTTGTAAGAGACAGAGTGGTTCTGAGAGAGGATGCAGCTTGAGGGATGGGGGAAAGGAAGTTTTATGAACCCCTTTTTATAGACAGGGAACCTCTAGCCCAGGGTGGCTGTGATTGTGTGCTTGTTTTCTGGTGTCCAGGCTGTGTGGGGACTTTCCTTCTGGCCTCCCTGTAAGGAACCCTCTTAAGATCACAGAGGGGCTGTGGCTGAGCTGGAACCCGGTCTGGGTTCTCCCAAATCTCAGCCTCCAGGTTCAGATATAAACCTGTCCTTCTGCCACACCTGCACGCCCTGTGGTTTCCATCTGGTGGGCAGCGCGGGGGGTCCGTGCCAGTGGCCCCCTCTGCGCTGCTGCGGGTGCCTGGGCAGCGCGCCCAGCCGGCCGCTGGCCCTGCGTTGCTTTCTCTGTTGTTTTGAAAGCTCTTCTGTGCCCTCAGCCCTGCCCCCTCCGCCTCCCTCCTCTCCGATGCTCACTCCTCTGGGTTCATCTCCTCCCTTGTGCTTTTCTTTGTCTCTTTTCCCACCGAGTCCTCCCCTCTCTCATGCTCCCCACTGCGCTCCAGATAACCTTTTCCTTCCTTCTGTATCTTCCAGAAAGGTTTTGTGTTTTTTTTTTTTTCCTGAGCTGGAATTTCTCACTTCCCTTCTCATTTCCTCACCTCCCCCCTCCCTCTGGCTCTTGAATAATATTTGCCCTTCCCTCTCCCAGCCCGGCACCCCGCACCACTGCTGTGGGTGAGGGCAGAGCTGACCGAGGGCTTCCGCACTGCTCGCCCGGAGCATCCGCCTGCCCTGGCAGCGGGAAGGTCTCAGGTGCAGCTGAGCGTGGGGTGCCCAGAGAGAAAGCCCAAACCCCACGTGGGTTTGCTGAAGGTTCTGGTTATTCCCGCACAGCTCCTGGGCGATGGAGCGTGTGTCCGCCCTGCGCGGTGCCCTGCTGCCCATCCAGCCCCTCGCGCCTCTGCGTGATGCTGAGCTCTCCCTCCCACGCTGCGACCCCGCGAGCCAGGCGTGCTGCTCGCCCGAGCGGGGTTTGGTTAAAACATTTGCATCTGGTGGGAAGGTTATCAGGGAGCAAACGCTTGTGCTGCTGCCGCTCGTGGCAACTCCTTCCCTGTCCTTGGGGGACCTCTGCCCAGCAGCAGAGATCAACTGACAGCCGTGTCTGCTGTTGCTTGTTGTGTGTCTTTTTAGTCTGGAGAAGAGAAGACTGAGGGGGATCTTATCAAGGCTTATAAATCCTTCAAGGGAGGGTGCCAGGGGATGGGAACAGTCTTTTTCCAGCGGTGCCCAGTGACAGGACAAGAGGGAATGGGCACAAACGTGACCATAGGCAGTTCCATCTCCACCTGAGGAGGGCCTTCTCTGCTGTGAGGGCGGCAGAGCAGTGGCACAGGCTGCCCAGAGAGGTGGGGGAGTCTCCCCCTCTGGAGCCATCCCAAACCCGCCTGGACGCCGTCCTGTGCCACTGCTGGAGGTGCCCCTGCTCTGGCGGGGGGTGGGATGGGGGAGCTCCAGAGGGCCCTTCCAGCCCCCACCAGGCTGCGATTCTGTAATTCTGTGTCCTCTCTCCAGACTGCGATTGCTACGCCGGTGGGACAGAAGGCAACGCCTGTCGCAAAGACCCTCGGGTGGGGATGTGCGTGTGCAAACCCAACTTCCAGGGAACACACTGTGACCAGTGCGCCCCAGGCCACTACGGACCCAGCTGCCAGCGTGAGTGACTCGGGGTCAGCGCCCCATGCTCGCCCCGCTCGCCTCCCTGCTGGGGAGGAGCGTGCCTCCCCCCGTCCTCCGCTCGCGCTGGGGAGGAGGAATTCTCCAGCCCCACTTCTGAGTGACAAATTCCCATGACTTTTGCTGGCATTTTCCACCCAGCCCTGACCCTCCAGCATCCTCCCAGCTTGTGGGGGGCCCTCGAGAAATTCCCTATGGATGTGAGCTATGGGCCAGGCATGCTTGGTGTCAGCTGTGTCCCACATTGGTTTTTCCAGTGACCGCGTTTCTACCCCAGAGGAACCGGTTCCTTTCCTAGGAAGGGGAAAGAGGAAGAAGCCGTTTATTTTCTAGTGCCCTTTTTGCTTTCCAGCCTGCCAGTGCTCCGGCCCCGGTCAGTACGATGGCACCTGTGACAGCGAGACGGGGCAGTGTCTGTGTCGAACGGGATTTGAAGGGCACTTGTGTGACCAGTGCGCCCCCGGCTACTTCAACTACCCTCTGTGCCAGCGTGCGTATCTGTCCTCCCGTGGGACCGGGTGGGTACGCACAAAGCCAGAGTCTTCTGGCGGGGTTCTGAAGGGGGACTGGGGAGTGGGTTTGTGGGCATTTTAGAGGATATACGCAGTGGGCAGAGATCGACAGTTCGGACGCTTCGAGCAGGACCTAAATGCCCATCTGAGAACCTCAGGAAAAAAAAAACAAACCCAACGTATTGCCATGAGCTTGGCCCCGTGATCCCAGCACGGGGCAAATGTTTTCTCTGTGTTGCAGTATGCGGCTGCAGCGCGGTCGGGACGCTGCCGGGAGGCTGCGACTCCCTCGGGAGGTGTTTCTGCAGACCCGAGTTTGCCGGGCCGAGGTGCGAGCAGTGCAGTCCCGGGCACCACTCCTACCCCCACTGCTACGGTAAGGACCTGAACGTTCAGTTCCTGCTGCTCTGTCACCTGCTGAGAAACATGCCTATTTTTGCAAGACTTTGGTGTTTCTCAAAATCGAAACCCATGTGGGTCTGCACTGTGAGTTTGGCAGGCTGATTCTGGAGGTGGTGGATCGTGCCAAAGCCTGGAAGAGAAAGCAGTTCTTATCAGTCACGCTTCCTCATCACAACCCCGCTGTGACCCGGTGTCTCAGCTTACACCTTTTTTTGTCTGTCTTTTTAGTGCATTAACCTATTAAACTGCTGAGGAACGTTGAATGGGCTGTAAAAAACCCCCAGTGTCATTTTTCTGCTGTGGCCATGACTCTAGCTGAAAATGTTGCCTGTCTTTCCAGGGGATTAAGAAATTAATTTAGTTCTGATGTAAGTGGCTAATTCCTGCGGGGCTGAATGTCAGTTCAGACCAGCAGAGGTTGGCCACGGATCGCGCGTTTCGCAGATTATTGAGAGTCCTGCTCTTACAGCTTGCTCCTGCGATTCCCGAGGTGCGGTGGACAACAACTGCAGCCCCGCTGGCCAGTGCCGATGCCACGTGAATTTTGCGGGACAGACCTGCAACCAGTGTGCCCTGGGCTTCTATGGGTACCCCAGCTGCACGCGTGAGTAACCACCATCGGAGGGAAGGGAATAGCTGCTGCTACTGGCTTTGTAATGGTTTTCCTTTTCCTAACCAGTCTCCCCGGGTTGTATATGAATGTAGTCG